AGAATCTGAAGCACACAGAACTGTCAGCACAGAGCCTGATGCGGGCTCAAACCCATGAACTGTGAGGGACGCTGACCCGAACCAAAGTTGACTTTAATCAACTGAGCCACCAGGCACCAGATTTCTTCATTCATTAAGAATTTGACAGATGTATGGAGTTGACAAAGAAATGGGAAGTTTAATATCGCGAAGAGACAAACACTGTAGTGTTTTAAGCTGTAACATCGCTAATGTGGACCCCAAGTATGCAAAGAATAAAATTTCTTTTGACAGTCATTTGTAGAATGTGTATCAGTCATAATAGCTTTCCATTTTCTTGAGTTTAGGTTCTTGTCGGGGACGCTTAAATGATGGCTTACAAAGTATTATGGTTTAACTTTATAAGCAGAACAAAATTGCTGAGCATTCCCTCACTTAAAGGTAATCATCCCTGCCTTCGTCTCCCCTTTTTTTTTTTTTTTTTTTTTCATCTTTCCTGACTTTGAGTCATTGACTTCGAGAGGCATTGTCAACCACTGGCAACGGGAGTGGCTTCATCTTCAGACGTATACCCTGACCACACATTCATGGGCAGTGATTGAGAGTGATGTAGAAATGCCAACCAGACGGCAGAGATTTGGAAAGACGCGAAGAAATTCAAAACTGTAGTTAGTTTTATTTAAATGGGAAAGGTAGATCAAAATTACTAATGTAATACTTTGGAACATGGCAATGCATTAAATGCCCTTACAATTCAATTACATTCAGTCATAGGTTGAACAAGGGCTCATGGCAACCTACATAAAGTATGGTAAACAAATGGTACCTGAATAGTTTAATCTCTAAATCCTGATAGCTCAGGTTCGAGCTCAGTTTAATACTCAGATTAAAATATGCTGTCATTTTTTTTTTCCTTGTATATCTAATTGAACTTGCAGAGCACCAGAATCACATTTGGTTCATAGCTAAGGGCCATATCATAGCAGGAGAATTTCGTCACAGTGGGAATGTTCTTTGTTTGTATGTTCCAGTATGGTAGCCATTAGTCGTGAGGTGTAATATTAAGCAACCGGCTGATGTGACTGAGGAACTGGAATTTTTACCCTCATTTTAATTTAAATAGTAACATAGAAGCAAAGTAGCCACATATTAGACAGGTAGCTGGTGGGAATACCTATGAACTTTTTTTTTTAAGTAGCAGTATATATCACACTTCCATGATCTCTTTTCAGCTTATTATCTTAAATCAGTAGAGTTCTCAAATAGCAACTACCGATTGCAAATAACTTGCATATTTTATTTGGCCAAAGTACAGCTCTTATTAAAACAATTTTAAAATTGCTTTAGTATGCAGAATCTGGAGTGCTTTATATAATCATGCATTTCTGATTTCTCTTGAAAGAGTCTCGGCCTCACATCCCAGCACATTGGAGAAGAGCAATGCTGTTCCTTGAGAGGTGGCCCGCCACCTCCCCAGTCTCCCTTGGCCACCAGCTCCCCAAACCTTTTACATTCTCTGCCAGGACCTCTGGGCATGTGGGTTTTCTGAAAGTGTTCCCCTTACATTTCCTTGACATAATAAGGCTATTAGTACCCTCCCCTTGCCCCGAGATGGGGAAACAGAGCGTGGGGGGTCTATAGTTAACCTGCCAGTCAAGAGCCCCGATCACATTCCTCCTCCTCCGAGTGATTCTTCTGTTCCTCTGCTACTCACTGATTATGCAAATAAATTTCTTCCTAGTGAAGATAATGGGTTTTCAATGAAGAGACCTGAAAATAAATTAGAAAATTTCTTGATATTATTTAAATATTTTTTGTCTGTCCTTCTTTTGCTTTTCTTAAA